AAGAAAGCTAACAGTGAAAGAACAATCTCAGGGCTGTGCAGGCACCATCCAGAGATAGATGTCTGAGTGCTACACAACTGGACATAGCCTGCTCTAGAGAAGGGAAAGGTCTGTGTAGATCAGGCCAGGGATCACTCCCTGGGAGAGATATCTTTAGTGGGAGAGAAGTGGAGAAGTATCAGCACTCAGGTGTGACTGGGTATCAACCTAGTTGAGTTGACCCAACTTTCTACAGCCCACACACCGGAGGTGGAGGTCTAACAACAGCAGGATCTGTGTGAATAATTTCTTCTGCTTTCATATGAGTCTGAAATTTATTATTGGGAAACTTCCAATCCATTCTATGACAGGCCATTTTCCTGTTAGCAACACTTGGAAAATACAATTGGACCCACATCTCTAAACAGCAGGTACACGGCCATCCTCTCGGTTTGGTTGCTGACATAAAGTTGGCCATCAGGTTGGCCTGACCATGTTACATACGAGGAGGGGATACAGTATCTCCTTGTGCTTTGGTGAACTCCCATTATCAGTCCCAGCCAATAAGCTTGAATGAATTATGAAGTGAGTTTCATCTTGAGCAGGCGATGTACATCAACACATCAGTATCAAGTTGATGCCAAACCAAGCATCACAGTCATATTCACTAGGTACAGTGCCACACGATGGAGTGATAGTGGACTCCTAGTTTACACATGGCACAGATTTGTTGTGGCTTTTGTACCACATGATTGCTCGTCAGTATTGCCCTGTATTCTTGGGACCAGCTATGTCCTGTAAAAGTGCTATTCTGAGGTCATCAGTAAGGGTTTGGAACTGCTGTACGCAGGCAAGCTCCTCCAGATCGGCTTCTGTTGCCAGGACAAGTCAACAAAAAATTGTTCACTTACTACTGTTAAGGCATTTGGCCTTTAAAAAATATGCTATACATGTACACAGGCAATATCTATTGTGGTATTAAAATTTTTATTGTTTACTTCTTTACTATAATGTATACATTACTATTAAATTGATTATCCTTGTTACATTCTTATTGCAATAACATGTGCAAAATGTACTTATTGTGATATTTAACTAACCATATCTTTCACATTTGTAGACGTTTTCATCTTGAATTTCCCAGTATGGTGCAGTCTTGAAGTAACTCTGACAGGAGCTGGCGTGCTACAGAGAACAAACAGTAACTTGTTGCAGAGAAATAAAGGCTGGAGCCAGCACATGTTTAGCGGAATCCACAAAGCTGCTTGGTACATGGTATTAAAGGTCATGGCTTTTATTTGATTTTAACAAGCAAATCCAGGAAAGCGGGACAGAATTGACGCTGTCCAGGAGAAGGGAGTCAGTACCCTCTTTTTTTTTTGGGTCCATCCAAAATCCTTGGCCATCATTGATCACAGTGCAAAGTGTGCAGAACACACAATGCTGAAGGCAAACCTCTCCTTCAGGGTGGAGGTCACTCAGTGGAGATACTCCTCACGCATCCGGGGAAGAAGGTGGAAGGTAAGCAGTGGTCCCTGGCAGATTTGCTTTGGTCCCTGGTGCCTGTGGGAGCTCCCCAGTGGGGTGGCCCAGGGGAGGTCATGTCCTGGCTGCTGAAGCCAAGACTCATTTTGATCCTAAGACACCCATGGAGGAGCTGGCAAAACTCCATTAGAAGTTTGCTCTGCTGCAAACTAATGTGAGGAGTCCAGTGTACACCTGCCCAGGTATCAGGGCACATCTAAGCAGAAGAAGACAACACAGGCAATACACAGGTCCCCCACTGGTTTACACAAGAGCATTTCTTCTGAAATAAAAGGGAGCCTCACATCCAAGGAAAAGAAAGAAAAATCCATCCCATTCACTTTTCTAGAAGGCATTTACGTTATTACTCATTCAAGTACTAAACTGAATTTATCCTTTCCCCCAAGGGTGCATTTGGTCATCCCACTGCTGTGCCACAGACACACACTTGAGCTGTTGAGACACCAAATGTGAGTTTTGCCTACTGTGAAGCTTCCCTCTCATATACCATTTTCCTACACAACCCATCCTGCATGGCCTTGGAGTTTAGGGTTTGCAGCTAGCTCAGTGTCCCTCATTTACCCCACCTCCTGAGAATCTGCAGGCTGACAGCTGTGGGGTAGGAATAGATAACTTCAGAGACAAGCACATGTCCCCAAAACCTGCAGATAGAATTTTTTGAGAATTCACAGGCTGTTTCATGTGTCAATATGAGAGGAGCATAATTACCAGCTGAGAAACTGCAGGAAATAAGCCAAGATTGAATGAACGAAATGGAAAATAAAGAGAAGCACAGAGGACACACACATTTTAAAACAATTATGGAGGTATGTATTCACGTGCTCATGGGAGCCTGGGAATATATAAGAGATCATGACTGCAAAGGAATGAATTCAAGGACCAGCCTGTGGGGAGTATTTTTTTCCCTGTGACTTCAAACTTCTCTCGGAGCTCACAGAATTTTAGTCAGCTGGCATGCAATAGAGGTACGACTCCCCTAAGGAAACTCTTCCTCGGCTTACTCTGGAAAAGCTACTGGGAGAGCCTGGGAGGCAGAAAGCAGCAAGCAGAGGCGAAACCTCCTCCTCATTTTCCTCGAGCCACGGAACAGGTACGTGGAGATGCGTGTGAACGCGGGAGTGTGGTGGAAAGTTGAGCTTTTGACTGTGGGAGAGATGAGGGCTCCAGTGACTTAGAGCTGCAGCCTTTTAAAATTAACACAGATGAGGAAGTTACACTATAAATAAAATATTCTGTGTTTATGAACAGGCTGAAGAACTGGCTAAACACACTGTGTAGATGGCTTTATCCACACAGCTGTATATTTAATCCATAAGGGACTTGCACTGCAGCGAGTTAGATCCCTTATGTTAAGGAGGCACTGGTTAGTTTATAACAACACAGTTGTCATATGCAGAGTTTTTTATTCTTCTCTGTGCTTACATTAATGAAAAATGGGGACATGTTTGGGTATTTTTTCTTTCTTCACAGGACTTCAGTCTATTTATGGTACCACTGCATTATAGTGCTCTGAACTAGGAGTATTGCAGAGATCAGCATTGTGCACTGATTAAATGCCATTCGCCCATCTCTCCGACACTGAATCCTAATATAACCTTGGGCAAGTCACACAGTCCTGGGAAAAAATGACCAAAAGGCTGTTTGGTTCATCTGCTCTTCTTACTATCAGCACTGACATGGAGCTCTCCCTGTTGGGGCAAGAGGTGTGGGATGGCAGGGTTATTTTGCTACTCTTAAGATCCTGACAGTTTGAATGTCACCTTGGGTGAATGATGACTTACTGAGAGGGTTCTGCTGCATCTGGACTGTTATCAAGGCAATTAACATTTAGACAATACTTGGAACTGGTAAAGTTTTAGAAAATCCTAATTTTTATAAAAGTCACAGATAAATTTATAAAGCCAAAGCCTCTTGCATTTTTTATAAAAGTGCAGATATGTTTCCCTTAAATAGAATCAAAAGTTTGACTTTCCACAACAGTGGAAATCTGTTTGTGGTTTGTTTGTTTTTTATTTTAAATAAGATGTTATCATTTCAACTTTGAAATCAACTTATTACTGTAAAATGCTAAAATCCTTTCATTTTCAATAACAAAAATTCACAACTAGTCATCTCTTTTTAAAGCAGATGGTTACATCTCATTGACTGTATAGTTGCTTGACCTTTTACTAATACAACGATGGATGGTTTCAATGGGGAATATCAGTATTGTGCAACCAAATCTATCAGAAATAATATTTCTCACCTCCTTTTGTCTCCTGTCAGGTCATATAAATTAAATACACCTTTTCCCAAACACTGACTTAACTGTCAATTAAAATGAAAATGCTGAACTAAAAGCCTATTTTTCTCTTTTTTTCTGCACTAGGATAAGATGGTAAGAAATTATTCTGGTTTAGTTCCTGAATTTGAGTTTCCCCAGGAACTTTGGTCAACAGGGAAAGTATTTAATGGTCAGATAGTTTAATCTGCAAGTGTTACTTTTTGCTGATGTGTCTTCATTTTCCCATCTCCTGCTATCCCTTCACCCCACCCATCATTCAATAAGTCTCCAGGCCCGTGGGTTTCATGCAATTCTGGTTCATTTAAATTTTCTTTCCTGGAAAGAGGAGTATTAAAAAATGGTAATAAAATAGGGAATCTGGCTAAACTCTGTGTGTCTGATTAATTGAAAATGTTAATTTTTAGTGGGGAAATGCTGTTGGCTCAACATCTAGTACAGGTGCAGATGAAGAGAGGACAGAGAGAGAAAGGAGGAAGGCAGCAGCTTCAGAAAACAGAAGAAAAGCCATGTTGGGGTTACAAGAGATGTAGAATGCCTTATTTTGACATGTGGACTTGACATCAGAGAGGTATGAGGCTGCATCTGCCCATGAGACACTAAGCAATGGCACAAGCAAAATGAACTAGGAGAAGCAACTCCTGGAGATGTTGTAGGGTCTCAAGAGCTGGAGCTGTGCCTCCTTCTCAAAGGCTGTGGCTGAGGATGACATCAGCTATTTACTTTTTTTAATAGGACTAATATTGAAATCTCCAGCTCCCTGGTGGGACCAATCACCAGGGAGCTATTCCAGCTGAAAGGCAGGAATACTCATAGTGCTCCTGCTCCTGCAGTTCAGACCCACTTTCTGAGGCAAAAGCTTGTTTTTTTTACTTAACTGATTGTGAGATACTGGATCCGAATCTCACTGAATTATTGATATGGGTCGGAACCAACTCATTCTGTGTGTGTGTGTGTGTGTGTGTGTGTGTGTGTGTGTGTGTGTGTGTAAGGACTGGGCCTAGATCCGCAGGTACATGATAAGTCCTGCACATCAGGCCTGCTGGGAGCACATGGCAGAGCTGGAAGGCCTGTGGCCGACACGGCTGAGCCCATGGAAAGCACATGGCAGAGCTGAAGGCCATGCAGCTGAGCTGTCAGTCAGGGCAGACCTGCCTGGTAGCCCACGCACACACCATGCCCCTGGAGCCTGTGACTGGCTGCAGCATCCCTCATTCTGGCCTGGAAGGCACTGGAAGGCCTGGGAGGGAAAACTAAACTGAGACTCCATGTGAGCTCTCTCCTTTCTCCTGCAACCTGCACCATGTGAATCATCGAATCTTGTCAGTAACCGTTTTTTCTTTCCTCTGTCTCTTTCTCTCTTTCTTCTCTCTTTCTTTACCCTTTTAATCTGTTCTCTTCTTTTACCCTTTTCTTTCTCTTGTGGGTAACTTAAAACCAATTAATCGTATTTTACTAAAGTTGGTATATTGATTTGGTGAAATGGGTTTTTATGCTGGGTGTTTTAATGCAATGCTTTTTCTTGGTTGTATTTTACTCCTTAAAAACTGTTTGCCAAAATATCTTATTTTTCTCACTAAATTGAAATAATTTCTCTTAGAGAAAAGTGTGTGATTCTTTCTCCGGATGCAAATTCGAGGTTATAACAAACCAAAAAGGCTTTTTAAAAATCTTAAATAAAATGTATCTACTCTGGGCAGCTTATAGTTTAAAATCTGGAGCATAACACTGATGTAAACTCTTCTCTGAAGAGTTTGATTCATATGGCTCGACACAGGACTCAACCCAGAAGCAGTGCCCTAGAAAACAGCATTGTTATGGATGGACAGACTCTAAAAGGTCTGGAGGTTCAAGACACATAATAAACAAGACATATTTTTGTTTCTCTGAAACCTTTAGGAAGCTGCAGCAAATTACAGTCCAGCTGGTGAGAGTCAGTGGCTGGGATTTGCTTTTCCTTCTTGCTCTGGGCCATGCTGGGAAGAGGGTTTGGAGGAGAGGAGAGGTAGGTCTAAGGAGGTGCCCTTGTCTTCATGTGGCATAGGGTGTAATTCAGCTGATGTTGACAGAAACCAAGCAGGCAATGACTACTGAGGAGACCACTGAAAAATCAGGAAGGACCTGATTTCACACAGTAAAGGTGCAAACCCTTTGACATCAGTGGAATGGGAGAGCCCTTGCTATTTTGTGGGCAAAAGCTTGATTCTCCACTCTACCTGATGGAGATGAGACTGGCTGGCTGGGGCTCTGAGCAGCCTGGTCTAGTGGAAGTTGTCCTTGCCCATGGCAGAGAGATTGGAACTAGATGATCTTCAAGGTCCCTTCCAACTCAAGCCATTCTATGATTCTGTGATTCTATGACCCAGTCTGTCTCATGAAGGTGACACTTGTTTTGCAGACATGGCTTACCAAGCCCATACCATGCTAATATTTCAACACCACTTCAAGGTGTAAACTGTTGGGTAGCCCAAAGTACAAAAAAAGTGAAAATTGGAAATCAGCCAAATGCTTCAGGGTCTTTGAAACTGGTTGCTGTCAGATCCCCTTTAGAAACGGACAAAGATGGTAAGGGCAGCACTGATCTTTCCCAGCGCGGCTGGTGTCCTCTGAGGCTGTGATTTTAATGAAGGAAAGTCCTGAACAGCAGAATCAGTGCATGCCCTTCCCTCCTGCTTTGGCATTTGTTTCTGTCCAGGCTCTTCTTCACAGTTCAGCTGGCACAGCTGCTTGGCCACTCAGTAAAACAGCTTGAGGAACAGAGTTGGCTTATTAAAAAGTACAACCAACAAAACCTCTACTATTTTTATCCCTGCAAATCCAAATTTCCCAAAGTGCTCTGAACCTCCATGTGTAGAAAATGTGAAGTTACAATCATCCTGGTCACTCGCTGCTCTTCATTTCAGGCAAATTAATACTCCAAATAAAAATATCCTATTTAATTTTTTTTTTCTATTGAAGGCCTCAAATAATTGAGGTTTTCCTTGCGAAAGTGTCTGTGCATGTCAAGTGCTATTGTACACTGCTGACAAGGCAAACTCTAAACACAGAGCATCCAGAAGGAACTTAAACCTCTGGAGACTAGTCCTCAACTTTGATGAGAGTTTTCTGCTTATCCCAAGGGGATTGCAGATAGAGAGCTTAACTTCAGGAAGCATGCCAAAGGGATCAAGTGAAAAACAGCACTGCAGCCAGCTGCAACCTAGGGAAGCTCAAGACACAGTGTGCTTGGGGGAAGGTGATCAAAATTAGTCTGGTGAGAGTCCAGTCAAGGACAACCAGTCTGGGGATTGTGATAATCCCACTGACAGGCTGTTCTCCTGAAAACTTAATGTGGATTTGTGCTGGTTTAAAGGTAAACTGGCAGGAGAAATGAACCCAACTCAGAAGAGATTGTAAGTCAGAATTATAATTTAGTAAAAATAATACAATAAATACAATTATACAGATGAACAATTGGTTTTAGCCCACAAAACCCAGATGTATAACCCAGCATCCTGGGGCACTAACAGAATGGTGTTCATTGGCCCCCGTGCTGAGCCCCACATGATCCCTTGAGTCCAAAAGTAAAAGGAGAGGAAAAACCTGTTGGTGCAAGTGATGGCCGCAGTCCGGTCGAGATTCTGGTCTTCCTCTGGATCTCATGAGTGGTACCAGAAGTCCTAAAACCCCAAGATTATATACACTCAGGTTCAGGCAGGAATGCCCAGTACCTACCCCAGGGCAGGGAGTTCCACAATGAGTGATTGTGAGTTGTGAGTGTGAGGACAGGAACATCCTCCTATCTCACAGGCCTCTTAACACCCAGCTTATAGCCTGAGGGCTCAGGTGTGCTCTGGGCAGCTGCTGCAAATGGTCTGTTGTTAACAGTTTCTGGGAAAAGACATGGAGAGTGTAGAAGACACAGTTTGGGTTACACCCACACAGTGATGAACTGGTCCCAGCTGTTCTAACTAGGACAGGATTTTTCTGTCCATTGCACATAATCATGCCCTAACCTGTTGTTTTTTTCATAGCATCTTCATAACTAAACCAGCGACCTGGTCTAGAGGAAGGTCTCCCTGTCCATGGCAGATGGGTTGGAACCAGATGATCTTTTAACCCAAACTATTCTGTGATTTTATGATTCTATGATTTATGTCTCTCATTTCAGAGTGCATTGCAAAGCAAACGAGATGCTAAGAGCCCATCTCTGAACAGAAAAAGAGTTCTTTAGTCCAGGTAAGGTTTCTGAATTCTGGGCTTTATATTTATCAGCCATGAATTTTAAACTTTTAATCCTCAAGTGTTGTTTCCCTAAAAATGCAGAGAGAGATTTAGGTTTAGGAGGCTACAATGCCCCCAGGAATGTAACTCATAGACACAAAACCCTAAAGTAAACACATTGCTGTGCCTCACACATGCAGACAGACAGTGGCAGTGGCAATAACAAGTCACTTATTCCCCCGCGAAACCCATGGCCCAGTCGTGGCAGTTCCTCTGGCAAAAATCTCCCCGTTTCTCAACTCCTGTCCCAAGGAAGGGCTTCAGGATGTTGCACAGCAGGCAACTCCATTCAGAGAGGAGTGTGGAGAAAGACAAGCAGCATAATTAAAACAGACACTGTTCCAGTTAAGGTTATTTCACTAAAAATGCCTCTGTTCTGAACTTATGAGTGAGTGTCTTGGCATCCTGAGAAGCTGAAGAACAATTCCATTGGTGCCAGGACTGAATCCATTTTGAAGATCTGATATGGTTTTTAAAGAGATAGGAAGTGGTGTTTGAGGATGCAAGAAAACCTTGAAACAAAGTAGATGTGAAATATTCCATCTTTTTAGCCCTGAAGGCTCTAACTTGGCAGTTAAAAGTCTTGTATGGAAAAGGATCAAACTCCTGGGGAGTTTGGTTTGTGTTTTGTGTGTTCTCTTGTATTTAACTCTCCTTGGCACAGGAGGACATCTGTGTTAATTGTCTAAGCAGTAACAAAAATTACCTGTGGGAGAAATTTGGAAAGTGCTGCTGTTATTAGCTGCAAGCAACATCTATAAAGTAGTTTCAAGGTTATTATTGTAGTAGGGATGGAGACAAGTATTGTTCTGGAATGGGAAATGGGAAAACTGGGATTAAACCCTAGTTATTCCATGGTTTCAAATGTGTCTTGGGGCAAATGACTGTTCTTCTCTGCCTTTGCCCTCCATTTGTTAAGCGGACACGCTGACGTGATTTGCGTACCATGCTTTTTCCAGACATTAAATTGTTTCACACACTTAATAAGACTCCTTGGGGATGATGTTCACTGACCCCACTTATATTTTTCAGCTGGGGATGGGTGATTTTGAAGTACTGTGATGGAAAGCAGTGACACTGAATAGGTTTCAGAGTTCAGTCTTGCTCTCAGGTATGCTGGGATTTTTATCACAACTGCCAGTGGGAGCAAAGGGACACTGAGCAAGAAGCTGCTTCAAGTCTGGGAAAGCCTTAGAGCAGTAAAAGCTCCCTTAGGTTGAGCTGTTGCTACTGCTGCTCCCAGATTGTTTTTGTAAGCTGTGGTTACAGACATCAGTGCGAGCAGGCAGGGCTTAGTGGTGATGCTCTCTGACACCAGGGTAATGCGGGCCCTGTGAGCCCTGAGCTCCACACTGGGGAAGGGGGGGCTGTTCAGACCTGCCCAGAAGGTAGAGAGAAGAGGGACACAGTGCTGTGCCACACTAGGTGTTACTGAGGAAGGTCTACATGTTGTCCAGAGAAAAGCTAATCAGGAAAAGCTCCTCAGCTGGACAGAGAATTGAAAACCACTCTGGGAAGGGAATCTTCATGTTCAAGGAGCTTGGGGTCTATCATGACAGCTCAGGGGGAAATAGCCTTAAAAGATGTGTAGATGTGGCACTTGGGGACACGGTGTAGTGGGGGTCTTGGACGTGCTGGGTTAATGGTTGGACTTGATGATCTTACAGGGCTTTTCCAACCTAAATTATTCTATGAGGATTGGCTTACTTTACTCTGGTCAGAGTCCATGTGGTCTCATGTTGGAAGAGACCACCATGTCCTAGTGCTTCAGCATGTGACAGTCACCTTAGAAACACCTTGAGAGACAGCATCCTTGCTTACTACAGATCTGTCTTACACAGCAAGCCATTACATCAGATTTTTGTGTTTAAATACATCGATTCCCCAGTTGCTTTATAAACTTGAAATGCAGGAAATTTCAAAGCATGTTAAGACCCTGGAATGTGTCAGGTTTACTATTTAAGAAGCAAAGGGATGATTTATTTCTTTTTTAACTGATGGTGTGACAAGAGAAGACATTGCAGAGTGCATGGGTCACATGCACCAGCAGGGTGGTGTCCTGTTGCGGGTAATATCCTCAGCTTAATTCGTTGCATCTGAACAGAAAGCTTTTCCATTTGAGGGCTCTTAGTAAAGCCTTGTAAGCAGTGGTATGTTTGTCTTTTCTCTCCATCTCAGCAAACTAATACTCAAATGACAAAACTAATTTTCTCCTCTTTAGGGGGCATCCTCTCCTCTAAACATGGAGAATGAGGAACAGAGGGGGGAGACAGACAGTACAGGTTGTGGCATCAGCAATTCCTCCTTCCACAGGATGATTTCAGCGTATTTTGCAAACATTAATTGAAAGGTCAAGAATTTACATCATTGGTGTTGTTTTAAAGTGGAGGAGCACACTTCTGATACCGCTACTGACAACCAAAGACAAACTCCAAGTTCTTTCACCTTGGGGTGATGGATTATCATCCATCACTGGTTGTCATTGTGAAATGAAAGGAGTTTGCAATCTGCAAATAGAGTCGCTGCGGTCTAATCCTACCCAGTTTCTCTATTCCTAGTACACAACTCTATTCTCTGGCTGGGAAGGGGAGGAGTGGGCAGGTTCCCATTGTGAACCTGTTGGCAGTACTGTTCAGCAACTGCCATTGCTGTGAAAGACCATGGCCATCTACTGCTTCCCTCAAAAAGTGACTAAACAGAGGGATTTACACCAGCCAGGAATGATCCTCTCTTTTGTTTTCAGCCTCCTGATGCTCTCCAGGTAGAAGCCACTGAGTAACAGTCCATTGATGCAGGACTTTTCTGGCTCATGTACATGGGACTGGTACGTGTTTGGAGCTTGCCTGATCCAGGCTTGTTCCTGGGACAACTTAAGAGCTGTGCTAGCTAAGCAGTGCTGCATGGTTTCCAGTTGTGAAAGGGTGTGTGTCTCACTGGCTCTGCATGCAGGCAAGACCAGCTCAGATCTGTCAGCAAGAAGCCGTACAAATACAGGCAGAGTCCACATGTTTGCGACAGGCTGACATAAAGAAGTCATATCCTGAGCTCACATCAGTGCTGACCACAGCAAGAGACCTCATTAGTGTCTGTCTAGAAACAAGCTGTTTGGAGGAGGAATGCTTTCCTTTGGCTTTGGTTGTATTTTTCTCCCATTGCCCAGTGACAGGCCTCCCAATGGTTTTTACTCCTTTTGCAGTTATTTCTACGCTCTTTCCTGGAGTGTTTTCCAAACAATTAAACTCTGTTGAATCCGTTGATTCACACAAATCCATTCTATTTCATATTTGTCTCTTTGTAAAGCATCTGTGCCTGCCCATGGCAGAGGGGTTGGACTAGATGACCTTTTAAGGTCCCTTCCAACCCAAATTGTTCTATGATCTCCTTTCAGATGTACTTAAAAACCTGCCCTTACCTGAGATGTGTAAAAAACCCTAAGCTAGAAAACTAGTAAAAATGTTAGAAAACTAATATTTGGACAAAAAGTTCTCGGGCCATTCTTTAAGCTGCTTGTACTAACTCAACAAGGATGAACATGTGTCCTGGTTAGAACGGCTGGGACCAATTCATCACTGGATGGGTGTAACCCAAAACTGTGTATTCTATAGCCTTCCATGCCATTTCCCAGAAACTGTTGTCAGTAGAGGCCTGCGAGGTGGGAAGATGTTCCTGTCCTCATACCCTTTTATGGAATTCCCCGCTCTGATACCCTTTTATGGAATTCCCCCTTCTGAGGGAGGGACTGAGCATCCTCATGCCCTTTTATGGAATTCCCCGCTCTGAGGGAGGGACTGAGCACTCCCACCTGAACTGGAGAATATATAAACTGGGAGTTTCGGAACCTTTCCGCCACTCGTGGGATCCAGAGGAAGACTGCAGACCACCACTCTCAACCAGACTGAGACCACCACCCTCAACTGGACTGCAATCACCACTTTTGACCAGACTGCAACAGCTCTCCCACCAGCAGGTTTTTCCTCTCTCCCTTTATTTTGGACTCGGGGGGGCCAAGGAACACCACTTTTGTTCATGCCCCAGGGTGCTGGGTTATACATTTGGGTTTTGCAGGTTAAAACCAATTGTCTGTCTGTATAATTGTACTTATTGCATTATTTTAATAAATTGTTATTCTGATTTATAATCTCTCTTTTGAGTTGAGTTCATTTCCCCTGCTGGTTAACTTTTAAACCAGCACAACATGTAAAAGCTCTTTGGCACCCTGGGACTAGATGAGTAGAAAATGTTTTGGATGGAAGTGGAAACTGTTCCCAATGGTGGTTGTTTCTGCGTGGTGCCTGTTCACTTTGCTCAGAACTTCAAAAACCCCAAAACTCAGAACCCCAAAACTTCAGCCCAGCAGAAAGCACCTGAGCTGCCTCCATGGGGAGAGTGTGGGTAACTCAGTCTTGAGTGGTTGTTCTTCTCCATGATGCCAGACACACTGCCCAGCATGAGCATCTGGACTTCATTGGGTGGCCTGAGTATCATCTAGGCAGCAGCTCAAATCACACTGAGGCAAACCCATTAAATGCCTTGGATCTTCCTTTCAAGTGCTCACATAAATCTCTTTTCCCACCAGACTCAAAGGAATGCAAGGCTACACAGGTAGGTTGTTAAGCTCAGAGATGGGTTAATTTATTGCACTGCTTGTCTGTCTCCATACTTGATGATGATCTAGTGCTGGCTTTTGCATGTGTTGACCACCGTGTCCCAGCTGAAATCTAACAGTAATTAATTTTACCTGCAGAACCATGAAACTGTACATCATCATCACCATGGCAGTGGCGAACACAAGAATCACAGAAGGGACATCCTGTGAAATGGTAAGGCTTTACTCAGGCCCCTTGAAATCCTGAATGAGGCTGAGACCACCTTGTTACAGGCATTGTACAAACAGCTATAGTCTCTGAAAATGGGAATCCCCCAGGACCATACTGTCCATGATGGCAGAGATGTGATTTGCAGGGTTAGGGGATGGTTAGCAGGCCGTTGTTGGGCTGTGTCCTCATTGTAGGGACAGCACATAAAAGAGGTGGAGTGGGTGAGGTTGGAAGAAGGGTCATTATCTCTGTTTTTCTCTAAGGGGGAGCTGGCTAAAAGAAATCTGACCTGATTTCCCCAGGACCAGACAGGGATTCTGTGACTGAGACAGAGAAAGAACTTAGACCTAAAATCAACTCCTTTATATCAAGCCCATGTTCTTTGTGCTTTAAATAAAGTATCTTCTGTGAAATGCATCTGTACCAGCTCTTTCGTAATAACAGGGAGACTGACCTCCTCTGCCCTGACACAGCATTGCTGCCAGGAAAGTTGTACCTGACTTCTGCTGGAGGGAAATGAAGTGACAAAGCCTCTTGACCTAGTACAAAATTTGTTCCTTGAATTTTTGTGAGCACCTGGAACAGTACCATGAATGTTATTCACAGCTGAACTTTCGCCCTTCCCTATCAAAGTGCTTCTGATTGTAACAGGTCATTTAAGAATAACTTTTTTTCCTGAACATTGAAGCTGTTCAGCACAAATCCTCAAGAATTTCCAAAATAGGGAAAAAAATTATTTGCTAACTGTACACAACTCCCTTATGGGACTCATTCCATTCCTGTCCACCCTGACGTTTTGCCGCACTTCCTGAATTCCAAAGGAATTAAGACCTAGTGTATATAAAAAGATCTTGGGAAGGTGTCTGGGCAGCTCAACTCATTGGCTGGAGAAGGAAGACTGATGAAGCCACTGTCAACATGTCAGCTCACATCCCATGTATCATAGTCATATGAAGGCTGGGCAAGACGTGCAATAACCCAAGCAGATTTGTCCCATCTCATTTCTTGATGAGTCACAGACCAGGCTGACTGCTGAGAAGTAAACACATGCTTGTTTCCACCACTCCTTTGCTTTCGTCAAGCCAACAATCCAGGGCTGTGTGCAGCTAAACTGGGATAAATTTAGCTGTGACAGAAAACACTGCAGTCAAGGTCTGGGATGCTCATCTAATATAAATTAACAGCTCAGCATTGCTAATATCCTTTCTGATTGTCTTCCTTCAGACAATGTTTGGTCCAATGGAAGGTGGGTGTAAATCCAAACACAGCTTAAAGAAAGAGGGAGCTACTGGATTAGCTGATGGTCCATTGAAGTCCTGCATTATCGATTTTCATCACAGCCTTACAGTTTTACTTGGTACCTTCCCTGTGATGACACTCCAGAATAGCAAAACTCAGAAATGGAAACTTTCATCCCAAGTCTCCTGGAACAGGGATGAATCAGAAACTTATACCCTTCTCTGACTCACCACTGGTGCTCCTGTCATTGAACTAGAGTCCTAAAAGAGGAATTGAACACTCCCTACCAGACCTCCCCCCACAGGAGTGAGATGCACTGATTGTACCAGTTATGGCACATCTACTTATTGCAAGACAACAAGGCACAGCTTAAATGTCAGGAGCTTCTTCCCAACTGATGTTGCCTTCCACAGGCAGGTAGGGCTTCAACTAGATCATGTTTAATTCCCAAAGATGTTTCTGCTATTTTGTGTCAACTGGCAAAGGATAAGCTTTGAAAGAATTTATAGAAGGGAGGGGATTTTAGGGAATTCTATTTTACCTTGCATTGAGGTGATGCAAGAATACGAGCATAACTGGTTATCATAGGTCAGCTGATGTGGGGTACCTGGGCAAACTGCTAAGGTTTGGTTGTGTAGCTGGGGAGTTCTTCTGAGAACAGTCATGGACACCATTCAAGCACAGGTCATTGCCAAGTGGCTCCAGCTCAAATTCTTTGGTTCAAATGTTCATGAGTTGATAACAGAGAACACAAGTGAAGGCTTGGATCCAGTCACTTTTCTGTAGGGTTCTTACTAAGGTGGATGACAACTTCCACACAGTGCTGAGCAGTGAAGAATTGGAGTCAGAATCCAAATGATGCTCAGCTTTTGAACTGTTGGGTCATTTTTTGCCAGCACATGAATGGGACAAGACCCTGAAGGGGTCAAGTGCTCCTCACCCTGCAGTACTTCTTGCCAATGGATGTGGAATAAACTGATGACAGCAGTGGAAAAGATGATGAAGTCAGAACATGAGGAAAAAAAAGCCTGAGACTTTTTCAGTCTCAGGCTGCCAACCCATTGGGCTAAGAGGTGAGAGGAGGGGAGATACACCAAACAGATGCTGTTTGTTCCAGTCCACTGAGATGTACTTCATCTTTTCTTTCTACTGCTGATGAGAATGACATTCATGCTGTTTGAGTCTCAGGGGAGAAAAGGTGGTGCAGAAGATAAGAAATTTGGTGAGGATCAAAATAGTCAGTGAAAAGGAATGAAACAAAAAAAAGTAATGGGAGGGGAAATGTTTTAAGAACAAATATCAGACAGTGGGAGGTACAGATTTGATCAGTCTCTTTTATCACTGGGAAAGTTCCACGGATGTAAATTAAAGGCCAAATCCTGCAAGATACTTGGTGATCTGGGACATCGACTTCAGTGACTGGCATCAACAGGAGTTGGATCAGGACTCTGCTAAGATGCTCATTGCCCACAAGGAGTAGAGGGGGTTTAACACTTGTTGAGATCTGGCTCAAAGTGTGGGAAGAAACTTGGCATCTGCCTTAGGCTGCAAAGCACCTGTTGCTTTCTCACTCTGTATTTTTGTATCCTTCTGGTTTCTCCCTCTTCAACAAACCAAACAAGAAGAGGCTTTCTTCTTGTGCCTTGGAGCTAAGCCAACTCAGGGCATATTTTAGCTCAAAATGAGCAATTCTGTGGAGGCTTTGCAGTAAAGAAATAATTTCAGGGAGAAGCCAGAAGATTTCCTTCTTTTTTTCCTCATTTTTTTACCCGGGTGAGATTTAAGTGACTTGGACGGAAAAAATAAGGAAGGGGTTCAGGATTTAATAGTCAATTACTTGGGATCTTTGGGAAAAGATGTATCACATGAAGGAATGCGGAGCAGTCTGTGTATATCTAGAGTTTGGATAAGCACTTAACGCTTCTCTGGCATATTTTTGTGTGGTCTCCAAAATTCAGATGAAGCAAAAGAGATTCACAAAACACTGACTAGTGCTCCACTTCTCCTAAACAGATCTGCCACTTAATTCACCTCAAAGTTCACATGAAACAGAAGGGGGTTAATATTTTTGACTTTAAATGTTTCTTTAATGTCTGAAAAGCATTGTGTCATGGAATCTGGATTCTGCTTCTCCACTGAAATTAAGATTCAACAGATTTCTTTCTTTACTTCTTTCTTTTCTGATCTTTTCACAAACACTACATGCCCCAGACACCCAAATATATTCATAACAAGAGTTTTCCTCCAGTGAATTAAATGCTGCATAAGCCTTTCACATTCCACTTCCTCACACTGCTGTATGTTCTCCTTAATAACAAAATATAGCTTTACATTTATGCAAGGATGGTCATGTTCATGTTTCTGATCTTGCTGATGAACACACACTCTAAACTTTGGTCTGGGCACAGACTCAATCCTAGCTGCAATTAAACAGACTTGCATCTTGAAGATGAATTTGACTTTGATGGTTGTTTTTTTCACATATCTGCTGCTGAGAATTGGCCTGAAAAGGCATGACCCTCACTGCACATCACAGCTTTTTCCCTCTCAAAAGCTGGCTTTACATAATTTGTCTTTTCCATGTTGTATCATGGGTGTCTTATATATCTGGTTTCACAAGGTGTGCTCCCCATGCAAGAAGAAGGAAACTGGAGCCTTAGGAAAAGGGTAAACATGAATAGTAAAAGCAGAAGAGTTTAGAGATTTTCATCAGAAATGCTTCAGTTGTTGAATGATTGATTTGGTTAAAGACGCATTGCTTAACTAAGCCATGGCTAAAAGAAGACATAATCAAATATCTGAGGATGTGAATATGAAGGGGAGACGGGGTTTGGGCTATAGTATCCTTTTATGTTTTTCCACTTCTTTGCTTTGGGACCCATACTGCCAACAGAGTGAAGCTCCTCTAAGTAGTATTTAATATTGCAAGTGGAATTTGAAAAATCTAATAGAGTGACGAAAGTAAGAAAATTAAACATCAGAACTAAAATGAAGAAATAGTACTTGATTGCAATGAAAAAAAAGGGCAAAACTTCTTCACTTGGGACTATTAAAATGAGTCCAGGATAAAGGTACAAGAAGGAGAACAGTAGGTATCACATGCAGATAAAATGCTACTGTTGTAAGTCAGAAGTGTCTTTAAAATGAAATGAGCGCTGTTAGCTGCAAAGAAGTGTTAGGATTGTTGTTCTTGCTGTCTGAGTGCTCAGAGAAAGTGGTGTGATTGGTATTTCAGAAGAAAGATCTGCCTGGATGCTGAATGTTATTTTCCTCGTATTTACTGCAACCATATTTTTCATTTGTTGCGTGACAGCCCCTTTTCTCTCTTTTTCTGGCAGGCAAACTCACAGGCATTTTGCCACAACAGAGACCTCCACCAAATCCCTCATGAGCTCCATCTGAATGTAAACAAAATAGATCTGTCTGGAAATCTGATTCAAAGTATCCCTGAAATGCCGTTATCATTTTACACTTCCCTCCAGTGTCTGGATTTAAGCTCTAACCAGATAAGCTTCATCACGCCTGGAGTGTTTGCACACATGATGAGCTTGCTGGAAATAAATTTAGCCAATAATCACTTATATGAGCTTGCTCAGAATGGAACAGAGGGGATTGGACTCTTACCCAAGGTGGAAATGATGGACTTGTCCCACAACAGTCTGTACAATGGGATGGCTGAGTATTTCATTAAACAAGCTCCAATGCTGCAGTATCTTTCCTTGGCAGACAACAGTATTGTAATGATATCACACAAGATGTTTCAGGGATCACCCAGTCTTGTGGAGATAGATCTTCAGAGTAATATCATCATGGAAATAGAAGAAGGTGCTTTTGAGACTCTAGTGAACCTTTCCAAACTCAATCTCTCCACAAATTCAATTACTTGCATCTCTGATTTCAACCTCAGGCAGCTGGAGACACTTGACCTTAGCAGGAATAGCATTGAGACCTTCCACATCACAAAGTCAGATGATGAATATAGCTTAAGATGTCTGGATCTGAGTGAAAACAAATTGCTTCACTTCCCAGTCTTCCCTCAGGTAAATAAACTGGTAACTCTGAATTTATCAAATAATTTAATCCAGCTCACTGCTGAATCCCCTCAGAATAAAAAAGATTACATGGAACATGAGTGGCTAGATGCTTATTTTCATCTTCTTGATCAGAAGCAAAGGCGAAACATAAGTTCTCCTTATTTATCCCAGCTTGTATATTTAGACTTAAGTTATAATGAAATCAAATCCATTCCGGATAAATTCTTTGAATCAATGTTGTCCCTTCACACCCTTAATCTCAGTAAAAACTGTCTCCAAGCATTTTTAGTAACTTATGACAACGCGTTAACGTCCCTAACTGTCCTTGACTTGAGTTACAATGCTTTGCAGAACCTTCTCCTTGATGCTGGTGTGTTGTCCAATCTGAAGGAGCTTTATATTCAAAGCAATCATCTTCAGACCCTGCAATTTGACATCTTCTCTAGTCTTCCTAGCCTCAGACTGCTTAATCTACAAAGCAACAACATCAGCCTTTGCAGCATGTACTCCAGATTAGCTAAGCAAAGACTTGCTGGAGAGGAAAGTGGTTGTGTATCATTTGTTGATTCTCCTACTCTTCAGTACCTGTACCTAGCTGACAACATGCTGAACACCCTACCAGCACGCAGCTTCTACAGGACTTCTCTGATTGTCTTAGATCTCACCATGAACCCTGGATTGAAAATAGAACTTAAAGCACTATCAGGACTGGAAAAGTCTCTGGAATATTTGTATTTACATGGCAATAGCTTGGTGGATTTAAATATTGACTTGCCTTGTTTTAGTCACCTTAAACATTTAAACCTCTCTGAAAATCAGCTGAACTGGCTGCCTAAGTGGGGTAGTGACTCTCCACTGGAAGTTCTGGACCTACGGAACAATAAGTTCAGTACATTACAGAACAGCAACATTTTAGCATTAGAAAATTCGCTTAAAAACTTATATCTCACTGGGAACCCACTCGACTGCTGCGGAAACATCTGGCTTTCATCAATGATACAGAACAAAAATGTCCAGATACCCAACGTGGAGCACTTAACGTGCCAGTACACTCAGAACTTCGGGTATCAGGAAGAAATGTACATTTGGAACATTAGATCAGAAGACTGTGAAAAAGAGGATCTGAAGAAAATCAACATCCTTATTATATTAACGTTTGTATTGGTTTTATCTGTGATTATCATTGGTGCAGGTTCATTTTTTTGCTTCCGCAGGCAAAACTTCAGCCATCAGTTCAAAGCATAGAAACACAAAATGCCTTGAAAATTGAAGAAATTGGGTGCTACACTGGCAGTGTGTATAAATAGAGGATGAAACTCTCATCTTTGATTTTTAACTGTGGATTTTAAGATGGTTTTGAAGTGCCCCTGAACTGCACCACTGTAGTGGTCTGGGTTCCAGGGACCAGAAGGAGAATTTGCCATGTTTTACACTTGCTTCGTTCACATGCAGATCTGCTTAACAAGTTCATACAGTGGTAGAGGAGACCACTGTAAAGTGCTGCTGTTGTTTTGAGGGATGTGCAATTTAAACCAGACTGAAAGAAAAAGCCCTCTAAGGTCTTGAGACCTGAGACTTTCCACTAAGCTCAGAGCTCATTGATTACATCAGCCATGTAGGAAATCCCTTCTCAAAGTTATGTGCCTCCATCAGATGTTTTGATTTTGTCTGGTCTGAGCTTTGTTTTTTTCCTAAGTGGTTAGCTCCTAACACTTCTTAATCTGAAATCATACCAAAATATACCGGAGTGGGTCAAAACACAATCTTCACTCCTTGAGGTTGGTTGCAAATTTCCCAAGAGTTCCAAAACAACGAGAATTTAGCTAAAAAAAAAAATATATGGAAATTACAGTTGGTGTCTGTTGTGCTCGTGGCTGTCATCTAGAAAATCTAGAAAATGTTTGTTAGGATGTTGCTCCAGTCACAAGGGCAAGACATGAGAAGTATATGAGGTCAATTAGTCCTGGAATTTACTACCCACGAGGGATGTAGAAGAAGTCTCAAGCATGAAACAACTGCACTATATGTTACCCAGATCTGCTCAGAAGCTCACAGGTCCACAGTTCAACTAAAAGAGGAGAAATTCGCCCCTCATGTGCAATGCGTATTTAACTTGGTTTAATGTGAAGAAATTAATCTCCAGGGTGAACATTTTTTTTAAAAGAAAAATCTTGGAAATGAATTTCAACAGCTATCATTGGACTGAAATTTTTATATTTCTGAGGAAAACTGTTGGCAATTCGCTACATACAGTTGCATTTCAATGCAGAAGAATAATATATCTATTTTTAAGGGTCACAGGATTTAGTCTACAAAAAGGTACTTTAAAAATACCATTGTGAAATGATACACAGGGAACCTAGTCCTGAGACATTATTTAGATCAGATGTCCACTGTCTCTCCCTAAAGAGATATTATGGTCTATAGGATGGGCTACAAGAAAAGTTATGTAGATACTCATTCTATGATGGGTTTAATGTGGCTAACCTGTTCTGTTGCTAAAAGTTGACACTGACATACCTTGTGTTCTAAACCATGACAGAAAATTCACCATTTTGAAGTTAAGAAAAGCTCATCAACAGGGGGAAACTGACCTGCTAACAGGGTTCAATGGCTTGAAAGGAACTGTATCAAGTTTGCTTTTAATGCCAGTAAATGTACATTAAAACATACAAGAGTAATAGAGGTCAAACTGAAACCTGTCCAAGTAAATAACTCAGAGCCAAATTGCTGCTCCATACCTGTTCCTTTCAGCTGGTGAATGTCAAAATTAACACACTACGAAAAGGTGTATAATTCTATTTTAAATCATTTATGTAAGAAACTGGTTGGTGATTTTCTCTGTGGAATTTTGTACAATAAAAAAAATATCTTCGAACTTTGTAAAAAGCACAGGCTTGAGAATATATTAAAGCATCAGCTTGGAATGCACCATAGATTAAAAGAAAAGCCTTCATATTTTTCTATGGTATTCAGACTTTCACCTTTTACCTCCTGGTCTTGAAGCAGGGACAGCTGCTCTGTATCTCAGGGTATGACCAATGGAGATCAAGGAGATCTACTGAAGATGTAGGCAAAAGTTTGGAACAGGTTTTCCAGAGAAGTTATGGCAGCCCTATCCCTGGAAGTGTTCAAGAGCAGGTTGGATAGGGCTTTGAGCAACATGGAAGGTGTCCCTGCCCATGGCAAGGGGGTTGGAACTAGGTGGTCTTGAAAGTGCCTTCCAACCCAAATCTGTGATTCTGTGATTCTACAAATTTGCACAAACCATCAGCAGTAGTGAGGCCTGATCAAACATCTACAAAAGCCCATGCTAATCATTGGCTAAAGACCTTATTCTTGTAGGAAAATGTTTGCACAAGCAGCAGCTGCAAGGAAGCCTGATGCTGAAGTTAATGAGCTTTTCCTTTGGTGTGAAGGCAAGCTGAGCTGTGTGCCCAGATGTGGGCTGATTTGCCATACACTGAGTTCACAGCTTTTGTGTCGAGCATGGCAAACTTATATGTCCGTCTGAGAGCCAGTTAGCTTGATTAGCATCAAGTTGGAATTAGTTAAATACCTGATGACAGAGCCAAACCCATTTAATCAATGATTTTAACACTACTTTTGTTTGGGTCTCCCAATAGGAAATGCTTGTTATTACTAAACATCTGGGACTAATTACACTTCCATTGACTTCCTTGGGAGCAGAAACAGTTTTCTTAAGAGTAAGTCTCAGGAGCAAAATGCAACACGGCTTGTTTGTGTTTCTCTGTTAGCAGCATAATAAACCAAGAAGTGACATGATCCTGCTCCATCTAATGCTATTATTTTGGATGGGGTGAGGAGCACGAGAGAAAGAAAATATGGATAAAATAGAGAGGAAAAATGGGTAGAAATGTGACCTCTACATGGTATTAATCCCGAAAATAGGGGTATGTAAATGACAGCTGCAGTCTTGCCTTTTCGGTTTGTTACTGGGTCTGCAAAAAGCCCAAACACTAAAGTATCTGATCCTGCATCAAACACAGCCTTTAGTCACACATTACACATCTTTCTGCCAGTCAGCCCCATTTTCCTAATAGGTTGGCGTAATGGTTTAATGAAGAAGAAAATTAACTCTATCCCAGTCAAAATGAGGATAGTAGGCAAGATACAGTCTGTTTTGACTGTAACTTCGCAACAAAAATTTTACACCCTCAGTCATTACTTTTTCATAAAGTCCTTGCAACAAACTCTGTTGATGCAAAAAGAGCTCATGCTGCTAAACCAAGGATATCCTTCTGGGATTCTGGAATATGTAATAAAGTGTTTGGGATTTATGCAGCCAGTGCATTTTTCTATTTTTTTTTTAAATTGCTGCATACAACAAATGCCTTCCTCTCTGCAGGTGTTTGCATAGGACAGGACAATAGAATCATAGAATTAGAAAATGGAAAGGGACCTTGAAGGTCATCTAGTTCCAGCTCACCTCTGCCATGAACAAAGACACCTTCCACTACATCAGGTTGCTCAAATTCCCTTCCAACTTGGCCTTGAACTCTTCCAAGGATGGGGCATCCACAACTTCTCCAGGCAACCTGTTCCAGTGTTTCACCACCCTCTGAGTAAAGAATTTCTTCATAACATCTAATCTAAACGTGTCCTCTTTCAGTTCAAAACTGTTCTCCTTTTCCTGTCATTATCTGCCCACATAAAAAGTCTCTCTCTCTCCTTCTTATATGGCCCCCTCAGGTACTGGAAAGCCGCAATGAGGTCTCCCCAAAACCTTCCTTTCTTCATGCTGAGCAGCACTAGATGACCCTCAAATATTTCCTACCATGGTTTGCTGTGTTTTTTTCCCCAAAACAATCCTCTGCAGTGGGATCAGGTAGAGCTAAGTACTGGAAAAACTAGAAACACTAGAAATTCTAGAAACAGAGAGAGGCCCTGAAAGTTCAGCAAGTCAGGACTCATATTGACCATCCATGGAAAATCAAGTCTCAGTTTCCAGAGGTATTGGGTTTTTTTTCTGCGAAGCCAAGACAATACCCTATTAGAGCACCAGAGCCTCTGGCTACAGATCTCTCTGCAGGTCCCCTGCTCAGCCCTGAACTACCCACAGTGGGTTAGTATGCAACAAAAGTAAGGGCTTCCTAATATTTTGGGAGCCCAAAGCATTTGCTTTCCTGTTCCTATCTTTTCCCCATGCCATTCAGCACTCCTTTACTTTTCTGAGGAGAAACAAACTGATATCACAACCCAAATCCCCTGTATCTCCATGAGAAAGAAAAACGGGTCCCACCTTGCACAGCAAGGTATCCTCTGGCCATATTATTTTCTATAAACAATTACCAATTCTGTTTGTGCACACATGTGCAAAGGCAGAGATGCACGCAGGCTAGTCTAAGAAATACATCACTTCAGGATTAGCTTTGTTTGACCTAAATTAGAACAGCCTGGGCTAAATGATCATCTGTAATAACAAACAGCCTGTGGTGCTGGTGCCTGTGGATTCCTATTTCATGCCTGTCCATGTGATCATTTTGATCAAGATTTTCAAAAGTGATCCGTGATTGATTTCAGATGCCTAAATTTGCAGCCTGCATCTCACCAACCCTAAAAAAAGTCTCATTTTCCAGAAAACTGGGTCCATTTCCTCTCAAAATGAAGGCTCTGTGATATGTCTTATACAAGCCTCAGAAAAAAAGCTGTTTGTCCAGATGTATATATAATTATTTCACTTACAGCTTTCTAATGATAGCTTCTGCTCCTCTAGAGTTGTTTTGAGCATCTGAAGAGCTGAAAAACAGCAAAGCTACCACCAACAGCTCCTTAGCCCTGTAGTCTACCCTCAGAAGGACCATATTAACGCAGCTTAAATCTCTCTCCACTCTCACTCCCACACCCAACTACTATTGTTGCATAATTTGAATGACAAAGGAAAATTAGTCATAAGGAACAAACAAAAATTAGGTGTAGGGTCTGCAGCTTCCTGTGAGTGCTGCAACTATGCAGCCAGATCAGATTTTGGTCTCATAGGTCCTGGGTTGGTGAGGGTCCAAATAGATTTTGCCAAGAAAAAAAGAGAAATGGAGGATGAGAGGACTTGAGAGCCATCAGAGCACTCAGAGTGTAATTCACTCTGAGAATTGAAGAGCTAAAAATACTCCAGAGGAACAGACAGTAGTAGGTACTTTCCCACCTCTCCCCAAGAGTTTAGAGAAGATCTGTGAAGCTTCAACTCCTCTCTTGAAGAGGAAAAGTGAGAAGAGAGCCAAGGAGACCAATAATACAGGAGCAGAAATGAAGGATGATAAAAGGAGTGAAAGATGAAAGGCAAATGGAGTAGAGGAGTTCAGTACAATTCAGGTCTTCATGGTGGGTAACTGAGAAGTGTAACTGGAATTTGAAGAGCATTCTAAAGAGAGGGATGGGAAAAGCTTGGTTAGGCAACATGCTGCTTGCAAATATGTGATCCATGTAAACAGAGGAGGACATCAGCTCACAGGGCTGACAAACAGAAGTAAACAAGGAAATGGGGTAAATATGAAGAGGAAAAAGAGACCATATAAGCACAGAAGAATTCTGTAAGGAGTGTCTGTCAGACTGTGCAACACCCTTTCAGAAGCAAAGGCATTTGGAGGCTGACTTAACATGATACCAAACAAAACTTTGGCAAATATAAGTGAAAAGGTCTGCAACACTGAGAGAATCACTTTCCTCCCAAGCTATAGTTCATGGAAGGTCTTCTGCATTGCAGAGCCAAGATAGTTCCACAGATTTTCTCCTCCTGTCCATTTCTAGCAGTCATTGCATCAAAGACACATGTTTGGGAGACATGTCATTGATGCCTTTCAGTACTTAAAGGGGGTTTATAAAAGAATAGAGCAGCTTTTTAAACAGTCAGATAATGACAGGACAAGGCGGAACAGTTTTAAGCGAAAAGAGAGTAGATTTAGATGTTAGGAACAAATTTTAACTGTGAGGATGGTGAGGCACTGGCACAGCTTGCTGAGAAGCTGTGGATGTCCCATCCATGGAAGCCAGGTTGGATGGAGCTTTGAGCAATCTGATCTAGTGGGTGGTATCCCTGCCTATGGTGTGAGGGTTGGAACCAAGTGATCTTTAGGATCCATTCTGACCCAAAACATTTTGTGATTCTATGATTTTCCGGTTCATAAGCAGTATACTTTATGAAGAAACATTCTGGGAGGTGACTACAGAGGAGATTCCTCTCTATTATTCCTGACTTTCCCAGAAAATGGAGGGGAGAAAGGAGTCCAGGATCCTGGAGACAAGACCAGAGAAGGAGAGGGCTCCATTTTTGAGTAGGAAACCCAACAAAGAGAAGAAGGTTTGGGACAGGTAACTGGGCAGGAGGTGTGGCATGAGAAGAACAGAAGAGGAATAAGAATAGCTAAACAAGGATTTTGGAATACAAATCACAGAGTCAGAGAACGGTTTGGGTCTGAAGGGACCTCTGCAGATCATCTAGTCCAACCCCTCTGCTACTGCAGGTTCATCTAGAGCAAGTCATACAGGATTGTGTCCAGGAGGGCTTTGAATATTTCTGGAGAAGAAGACTTACCAACCCCTCTGGGCAACCTGTTCTAGTGCTCTGTCACCCTCAAAGTATAAAATGGGGAAGGAACAGTCAGGATGAAATCAGAAGCAGAGTGCAGCAATACAGGGCAGAATTAAATGAAAAGAAGGCTACACACTGCTTTAAGCTACATTTCTGCATTTAAGCTGATGGGACAGAGCCTTTACTGTGTTAGTGGATGACACTAAATGGATCAGTGCTTGGTATGTTGGGGGTAGAGCTGTTATTTAGAGGAAGCTTCCGCATCATAACAATGGTCAGAGAGAAGCTTCATGATGTTCAGCAAAGGCTTGCACCTTGAACAGAACAAGCTCATA